AAGACGCCATCACCTTCCCTTTTTTCTTTTAGAGGATGAAAAGGTGGGCGAGTTCTCGTCCCGGTCGATCGGGCCTCGTCAGATGCAGGGTGAATCCCGCCCTCTTTTCTTCTTTGTTTGGAAAAAACGGCGAGAGCCGGAAAACGAGCACCAGGTGAGGGGATAGATTAACGAACTGAGCCCCCCCCCCTCCCCCCTTCACCCACCATCGCCACCCCCAACCCCCCGCGCGCAGGTCATGTCCGCGGTCGAGACCAAGCGGCCCGGCTACTTCACGCGCGAGATCCAAAAGCACACCTCGGAGGCGGAGGGCTTCGCCTCCGACACCTTCCCGATGGACGAGTCGGAGCTCTCCTACGCGCTCGGCAAGGACGGCACCACGCGCCGCAAGCTCGCGCGCGCCTCGGGCTGCATCATGGAGTACGTCGGCCAGGTCGCCTTCATCTGCGGCACGATGGAGGAGCGCGTCCGCGCGCGCACCTACCTCAAGTGGCTGCTCAAGCAGCGGCACGGCTCCGTCTACGTCGACGACCTCAAGGACCGCGACGACGTGACGGTGGTGCCCGTCCCGCGCGACGCCATCGGCTACGTCACGGGCAACCGCGGCCAGTCGCTGCGCATGGTCGAGGAGGAGTCGGGCACCTTCTGCTTCGTCGAGGGCGGCCGCGGCGAGTCGGAGCAGCTGCTCATCTTCGGCTCGGTGCGCGCGGACCGCGAGGTGGCCGAGCGGCTCATCAACAACCTCGTCAACGAGAAGATGCGCGAGGACAACGACCGCCGCCGGTACGACGACCGCGACTACGGACGCGGCGGAGACCGCTACGACGACCGCCGCCGGTCCGCCGCCGCCCCCGGCCCGCCGCCCCTCCCCCTGCGCCGTCCCCTCCCGCCTCACTCCCTCGCCCGGCCATCGCCCGCAGGGACGACAGCCGCGACCGCTACGGCGACCGCGGCGACCGCCGCCGCGAGGACTCGCGCGACCGCGACTACCGCCGCCGCTCCCCGTCGCGCGACCGCTACCGCCGCCGGTGAGTCGCGGCTCGCATGTTTGCCCAAAGGCCTCTCCCAACTGCCCCAGCTCACCCCGACCCTCGCCCGCCTCGCCCGCAGCGACGACAGCCGCGACCGCGACTACCGCCGCCGGGACGACTCCCGCGGCCGCCGGGACGACTCCCGCGACCGCTACGACGACCGCCGCCGCTAGGCGGCTACGACGACCGCTGCCGCTAGGCGGCGCTTGTCGAAAGAGTGGCCTCCCGCCCCCGCGTGTGCCTCGCTTTACAATACCAAACACAGGCGACGCGAGTCCGGCGGTGCAAGGCACAGAACGCCTCCGGGCGCTGCTTCCCTTCCCCATCTGCCCACAACTCCTTCGGTGCGGGCGGGGTGCTCCGTGGGCGAGTGAGTCGGGCGGCTGCGGCTCATGATTGTGGCTCATGATATGTGCTCATCCATCGTGCGGCCATTTCCGCCGGCGAAGCTCGTTCTGACTCGGACACACTTTTGGCTCTCTCGGGGCGGGGGTGGATAAAAATGTCTGGGACGGGTGGCACTTTTTCTTTTCTTGTGCGGTTACTGGGGTACTAATTCCGAGTGGAGAGAAAAAGAGTAAGACGAGAGCCGAGGAAAGAGCGCGAAACCGCGAAAGAGCACGAAGACCAAAGTGCAACGCGTCCAAAGACCACGAGCACGACGCGGACGGTCGAGACGGAAAGCGCTACAGGACTAGTTGCAAATACGGGTGGTGTCACAATGACCACTTTTGATGTTTTTTTGTCCGTGTTGCTCCCAGCGCCCTCGCCCGCGCTCCCTGAGGCCATGGCTGGTGATACTAGTATGGGGGGCTACCTGGATACCGCGAGAGCGACCCAACTCGTCGACATCGTCCGATGATGGTGCCTCAAAGTCAGCCTCCGGAGGCTATCGTCGCGTCGAGCCGGCGGTGGCCGTGACATGTGGTTCCACCACCCCTCGCAGGCTTTGCCTCTGACCGCCACCGTTCCCAGGCTGCCTAATGGGATGGAAAGGAAGGCTGGGCGAGCGTATAGAAGCGTGCTCAACCTTGTCGTGGCAACCTGCACGGCAGCGCTGGCAGGCGCGATGAGCGTCGTGCCACCTGACCCGAGACGGGTCGCAGGCGTCGTACCGAGCGCGTCGAGACCGTGTCCTGATGCGCTCTGCACGGGTGAGTCACGTCGGCGTCAAAGGAGCGACGTGTGACCTGTCAGAGCTTGATCTCCGATCTCAGCGGCGTCGAGTCGCCTTCGGCGGCGACAGCTAGGATGCATCTCCTCCGTCGTTTTTCGCGCTACGGCCCTGAGAAGCTGGCGCCGCACGCAGGCGGACCTTGTGTATGCGGCGAACGCTTAAAAAGTGGGTGCTCTACGTCACTTTTTTTGAGTAGATAGTGCCGAGCTGGCCGTGACAGCGATTTTGGTAGTTTTGGGCGGGTTTTGCACCACAGACTTTTTGCAACTAGTCTAAGCGGCGGCGCGCGCGTTCTTTTTGCGTTTTGATGGTTCAAAAGACGCCGGCGCGGGAATCGTCCATATTCCTTTCGTTTTACCCGCCGGCGCAATATCCAACCATCGCGCCAAACGAAGCGGATATTTACGCCAAATCGCACTGCACGACACAACGATCAACGAATCTCAAAACTCTCAATCTGCATCCAAGGACTGCATCTCGGATCTCGCGGGGGCCGGTCCGCGCCGACGCCCTCGCACACACGGCCGCAGAGACATTCAGAGTTGTGTGACTGCTCTCAAACCCGTCGCGCTTCTTCGCGTTCGACGCCACCCACCCCACAGGCGGCACCGGCAGGCGCCCTAACGGCTCACGCGGCCTCCGCCAGCCCGTCGAGCCACTCAAGCAGCCAGGCTCCCAGTGCTGCGTCCTCGGCGAGCGGGTGCGGCCGGCGCGCCTCTAGCAGCGGCGCCGCCCAATAGGTGGCCCGGCCAGCACGGCGGGAGGTGGCGGCTGCGAGGACGGCGGCGTGATTTGCGCCCATAGTCTCTGCCGAGTCAGCGAGCGGCGCCATCGCCCCCTGGAGGAGAGGGACGAGCCAGGAGGGGAAGGTGGACGCCATCAGGTCAGACACGAGCAGGCCCGGGAAGGTGGAGAGCAGCGTCACGCCGTCCGGCAGCCTGCCGCCCATCCCCATCAGCCAAACGTCGTGCGCAACTGCGGCGGTGAGCATCAGGCGCATGCCCGTCGCCACCGAGCCGGAGGGCGGAGGCGTGGGGAGAGGGCGCGGCAGGACGGCGGCGGCAAGGCGCTCCTTGATCGCCTCCGCGTCGCCCACCACCGGCCCAGGGAGCCACTGCCCCGAGGCGAGCACCGCCATCACACTGCACTTGGCAGCTAGGAGGCCGGCGGCGGAGAGGCGAGTCAGCAGGACATGGCGCGCGAGCAGGTCGATGGCGATGACCTTGTCCACGCCGTCCGCCGTGTACGGAGAGGACGGGTCGGGCCACACGCCAGCGGTGAGCACGACGAAGGAGAAGCCGTTTCGCGCGACGAGGCCCGACGAACTTCCTGCTGTCGATAGCTCGTCAACGAGCGCCTTGCAGCCGGCAGCGGTGGACAGGTCGGCCGCCACGCCGCCAGGTGGGGCCGCGCTACGTCCGACAACGACCACCGCGGCACCGGCGGCGCTGAGCGTGGAGGCGATCGACTTGCCGATTCCACGCGTGCCGCCCACCACGAGTGCAGTTGAGCCCTCGTAGGCGGAGCGGAGCTCGGCTGGCGTCAGCGCCGCAGCGACGCCAGCCTCCTCGTCCTTGGGCTGGAGGGTGAGCGGGAGAGCGGTGCGAAAGAGTGAGGAGAGCATAGGCACACGCGTGTCGGGGCGGTGGCGTGTAGGGCGCGGTAGGCTGTCGTGGGCGGCCTTTGCTGAAAAATAACGGACGGGCCCTCAGCGGAGCTGGGAATAGGACCGCCGCAAGCGGCGTGGCGTGGAGCGGTTGAGCATCCCTCCGGGGGCCCCTCTGCGCCGGGGAGGCGTTGTTGGAGGCTAGGACGCAAGCGTCCGTCGCCCTTTTCAAACTCGGGGCCCACTCCGCTACACGCTCCGACCCACCCGAATTTGGAGGGCCTGAAAGTTTAAGGTGTTGCTGCGCAAAAGGGGTCGGACACAGGGCACAGCTCATGCTAAGAGCTAGAAGGGGAGCTAGAGAGAACGACTACCCTGTCCCGTTATTGCGTACACCAGCACCACAAAAGCTCTCTCTCTCCTGTCCTCACTCAGGGGGGTCACAACTACCGAGTCCCTCGACTAGCTGCCACGTTGCCGACCGAGAGCGGATCTCCTCCTGCTCCGCAAGGAGGGTGGCCAAAAGGCTAAAGTCTTGCCGGAGCCGCCGGGCGCGTTGACGACTTGGAGAAGGTCGCCCTTCTACTTGTACTTGTAGAGATGCTCGAGGGGGTGCTTTGTGGGGCGGTGCGCCAGGCCAGCAGTGAGGGGAGGCGCACCCTCACTCTCCTCGGTTGCAGAGCTCGTCGGAGGCTGCGGCACGACGGGAGGGTCGCGATAGCAGTCCTCGGGCGAGCCGACGCGCATGTCCAACCAGCGCTGGGACTCGTTGTGACGGCAGACGCCGGCTGCCTCTCCAACCGCTTCTGCAGCGTCCTTCTTTGCCCGGTGCATGGGCTCGATCCGATTCCGCAGCGTGTCGTCCCCAGCGGCGGTGCTGCGCGGGAGGCGGCCGCGGGCACGCTGGGCTCGATCAGCGGCTTTCCCTCAGTTGCTCCCAAAGCACGAAAGCACGGATTTGGCGGACGTTCTTGGCTTCAATTTTACGGGAATGGCACCAGCTGAAGGCTTGCACGGCGCAGATCACGCAGTTCGTGCACGGTATTCGGATTTTGCTATTTGCTCGTGTGGGGGTATTATTGCAGATTTGTCAATGGTACCGCGTCTGCGACGCGGGCGCCTTGCGAGCAGAGCCCTTAGCCACCCTTCATATCTTGCGCGGTCATTACACACGGGCGCTCAGCGGAGCTGGGAATAGGACCGCCGCAAGCGGCGTGGCGTGGAGCGGTTGAGCATCCCTCCGGGGGCCCCGCTGCGGGGAGGCGTTGTTGGAGGCTAGGACGCAAGCGTCCGTCGCCCTTTTCAAACTCGGGGCCCACTCGCCCTTTTCAAACTCGGGGCCCACTCCGCTACGCTCCGACCCGAATTTGGAGGGCCTAAAAGTTTAAGGTGTTGCTGCGCAAAAGGGGTCGGACACAGGGCGCAGCTCATGCCAAGAGCTAGAAGGGGAGCTAGAGAGACACCAACACCACAAAAGCTCTCTCTCTCTCTCCTGTCCTCACTCAGGGGGGTCACAACTAAGGGCGTCTACGCCCTTATCACAACTACCGAGTCCCTCGACTAGCTGCCACGTTGCCGACCGAGAGCGGATCTCCTCCTGCTCCGCAAGGAGGGTGGCCAAAAGGCTAAAGTCTTGCCGGAGCCGCCGGGCGCGTTGACGACTTGGAGAAGGTCGCGCTTTGACTTGTACTTTGTAGAGATGCTCGAGGGGGTGCTTTGTGGGGCGGTGCGCAGCCAGGCCAGCAGTGAGGGGAGGCGCACCCTCACTCTCCTCGGTTGCAGAGCTCGTCGGAGGCTGCGGCACGACGGGAGGGTCGCGCGACAGCAGTCCTCGGGCGAGCCGACGCGCATGTCCAACCAGCGCCGGGACTCGTTGTGACGGCAGACGCCGGCTGCCTCTCCAACCGCTTCTGCAGCGTCCTTCTTTGCCCGGTGCATGGGCTCGATCCGATTCCGCAGCGTGTCGTCCCCAGCGGCGGTGCTGCGCGGGAGGCGGCCGCGGGCACGCTGGGCTCGATCAGCGGCTTTCCCTCAGTTGCTCCGAAAGCACGGATTTGGCGGACGTTCTTGGCTTCAATTTTACGGATGTCTTGGCACCAGCTGATCACGCAGTTCGTGCACGGTATTCGGATTTTACTATTTGCTCGTGTGGGCGTATATTGCAGATTTGTCAATGGTACCGCGTCTGCGACGCGGGCGCCTTGCGGGCAGAGCCCTTAGCCACCCTTCATATCTTGCGCGGTCAAAACTCCGTGCCACGACATTGGGCACGGGACTGGCGCGCACTGGCAATTTTAGAATTACACGCGCGTGCGGGAATGCGCATTTCTTCTCTGCACTCTAGCCCTTGAGAAAAAGCTCATGCAAACCTGTGCCTGTGTCCTAGGAAGTAGACTGGGAGGGGTACTCCCATAGGCAACAGGAGGTCTGGAGACGCCGGGCGCGTGATTTCTTCCACCTCGAAGCAGCCGGCGGGGCCTAGCCCGAACCGCGCCGGCTGTGGAAGGCCTGCATTGCAACCTTGGAACAACTCTCCACCATCTCCCGTCCGACGACAACCCACTACTGGGCCAGCACCTTGAGGAGAATCAGGAGGAGGAGTGGACGGAGGAGGAGGTGCTTTTAGGAAATCACATATGCCGTCCTATCGCGGCCGGGAGCGTGAGTCGGCCCTCAACGCTCTGGCTGGCGGAGTCCCGGTGCACCCAAGCTCTCCACGCACCACGCCCGGTCCGCTCCAGCGAGCCACAGCCGCGCACGAGGCCTGGCTTCGGACCTCTGCCGAGGGCGAGCTCTGCCTCTACCTCTCCGAGTGCTTTGGCTCGGCGACACCGCTCGCGGAGCAGCTGGGCGGCCTGCAGATCATCGCCGCGGTCGTCAATAGCGCTGCGGACGACGACGACATCTCCGGCCCATCGGTACTCATCACCAACCTCGCAAACTGCCTGCGCGTGCCGCTGAGCAGCACCGAGCCCAGCGGTACGGACCAGCACTGTCGCCTCGCACGAGCGCCTCACACCACCGCCTCGCACCAGCAGCCCAGCCACACACCCTCCCACCGTCCCCAAACGCTGAGCCGCCTGCCACTAGTTCTCGCCGCCGCCACGCTCGCCTTTGGACGGCTCGCTCGCGTCGGCGCCGCCGCCGAGCCCGTCGTCGCCGAGCTCCGGCGCGCTCTCGGCCGCCTGTCTGCCGGCTCGAAGCTCGACTCGGCCACGCTGGTCGTGCGCGAGGTTGCGCTGGCGGCGCCGAGCCTGCTGTACGTGCACGTGGCAGCCATCTTCGGGAGCATCTGGCCCGCCTTCCGCGACGCGCGCGCCGCCGTGCGCCAGTCGGCGGCCGAGGCGCTCGACGCCGTCTTGCAGATCGTGGCAGAGCGGCCGTCTGCCGCGCGGGGCGGTTGGTACGCCGCGGCTCGCGGGGAGGCGCTGACGGCGCTGCGGTCGGGGTCAGCGGAGGCGGTGCACGGCGGCCTGCTCGCCGCCGCCGCCCTCCTCTCCGGCGGCACTCCCTACGACGGCAAGGCGCCGCTGCGAGCGGCTAGCGGGGCGTGCGTGGAGAGGGAGAGGGCGGAGGGGAGAGGCGAGTGCCGGTAGGCGTGCGAAGAGCTGCTCGAGGCGGCGTGGCCGATGGGCGAGCACCGCGACCGCGCCGTCCGACTCGCCTTCGTCGGCCTGCTGCCGCACGTGGCGCGCCGACTCGTCGCCGACGCCGAGAGCGAGCGGCGCAGCCTCCACCTCTCGCGCACGGTGCGCCACTCCTCTCCGCCGCCCTCCTCTCCGCCGCACTCATCTTCGACCTCTCCCGCCTCAACCTCGCACGCCGGCCGTTGCCGTCCCCGACACGTCCACGGCAAGACCACGACACGTCCACGACACGTCCCCGACACGTCCCGCAGGCCGACCACCTGCTCGCAACCGTCCGCGGCGCCGCTTCCGCCTCGTCCGCTGAGCTACGAGCCGCCGCCCTCTTGGCATGCGGCTCCCTTGCTGCCGCCCTCGCGGCCGGCCCTCCCTCGGCCGGCCCTCCCTCGCGGCTTCCGGCGGCCTCCGTGCACGCGCCGCCGGCGCCGGCGCTCGCGGCGGCGGCCGCCGCCCTGCCAGACCGGCTGGTGCGGGAGGCGTCGGCCGAGGTGGTGGCGCTCCTCCGGCGCGACTGGCGCGGCCGCAGGGCGGCGGCCGGCGCGGTTGGCGCCGCGGCCGTGGCGTGCGTCGCTCAGTTCGCCGTCGCGCTGCCCGCGCTGCTCGAGCCGCTGCTCGACACGCTTCTGCCGCTGCTGCTCGGCTGCGACCTCTCGCAGGAGCTGTCGGCGACGCTCGCCACGCTGTGCGAGTGCGCGCCCCGCCGCGCCGCCGACTTGCAAGAGGGGGTCCTCTCCTCCGTCTCCCACGCCCTCTCGCGCCGCTCATACACCGAGTGGCGACGGCTCTCATGCCCCGCGCGCGCAGCGGCGGCCGCCGCGACCGTCGCCGACGCCGACGCCGCTCCCGCCGCCATCCTCGCGCTGTCGACCCTCGGCGCGGTCGCCGTCGCGTCGGCCCGCGGGCGGCGGGCGGCGGGCGTGGGCGGCAAGCTCTCCCCCTCCCTCCTCGAGTTTGCTTCCGAGTGCGCCGCCGCCTTCTTCCTGCACGCAGACCCGGCCGTCCGCGAGGCGGCTGCCGCTTCCTGCTTGCGGCAGCTGAGCGCCGCGAACCTCGAGGAGGCCGCCGCGCCGCCCGCTGTTGGAACCGACCTGCTCCTGCGTGTCCTGAGCCTCGGCGTCGCCGACCCCGAGCCGCGCGTGCGGAGCTGCATCTTTGGCGCCTGGCGGCGTGCTCTCTCTCTGTCGCGTCGCCACCGCCTCCCCACCGCGCCTCTCCTCCTCCTCGCAGGCGTGCTCTCCGCCGAGTTCGACGCGCAGCTGGCGAGCGCCAGCGCAATGCCCGACGCGCTGCGCGCCGTCTGCGCCGCCACGCACGACTCGGCCCCCGAGGCCCGCCGCGCGGCCGTGGCGATGGTCGGCCGGCTCGCCGCGCGCGCCCCCCTCGGGCGGGCGGCCCCGCTCGGGCAGGCGGCCGTGCAGCGCGCCACTCTCGACCTGCTCTCCGAGACGCAGCTCTCGGCTACGCCGGTCGCGCTCCCTCCC